ATCCCCTATTTTATCCCCTTGGGGATAGAATTGATCAAAATCCTTTATGCCAAATTACAGCCCGATCCGTCCAGTGGTTTGAGCTGTACGTTGATAGATCACTATATCAGTCGGTCACCTTTGAGTTATATATATTTAGATAAACATACGAACTATTTTTATATTAATTTTTTGTTTGTTACAGTTTTTTTCTTTACCCTTTACGTTTTGGATTTATTCCTACACTTTTAGTGCTGTTAGAAAACAAGTTAAAATTACGTAGGGGTAAAATTACGCTAAAATTGCGATTCTAGTATTAGTAAAAATTCATATTATACAGAAAATAAGCAAACCGACTCCTTGGACCTAGGAGTAAACATTATTCTAAACATTATAGGAGTAAACATTATATTCATCAAAAAAATAAATCAATTCTCAAGCTTAGTCAGCCTTTCATTAATTCGCCCAAGCATCGAACCCGTCACAAATTCACTGTTATAAACGCCAGACTGGAACATTATTTTTTGTATGACTATCATTATTTGAATTATCCACTTTATTACTTATCCAGTCTCACTTGATGAGTGCCCTCGTAATTACTACCTATGCAGGCCTAGCAGGCCAACGGCTAACGTCTCATTCTCAATGCGGGTGATTTCTGTGGACTCAATGAAAAAAGTATATTTAAGTACTACAAAATACAAAACTTCCAAATCATCCCCATTTTATATTAATTTATACAAATAAATAAAATTGAATTTCTGTTTGTAATAATAAAATAACCGTTTTTCACTATATACGTATGTATGTATACACGGTGCATATACAAAAATGTAAATTTATTGTCTGTCTGTCAGTCTGTCTGTTTGTTCCGCCTAATCTCTGAAACAGCTGGACCTATTTTGACGAGGCATTTACTGGCATATTTTTTTTTTTAAGAAACACTGAAATCGGGCTGTGGTTTTCTGTAATTAATAAAGTAATAACCAGCCGCCTTCAATGTCTCTTAAAAAATTTAACCGCTTTTAAGATTTTTTTCACTTTTTTTAATTTGATTTCGGTGCCTTTTTTTAATAAAAAGTTATTATTTCATGCAATTTAGTGATATTTTGAATTTTAGGGTAACAAACATCACGCATACTTAATGCAAATTTAAGACTTATATAGTTTTCTCATAGATGACATTGCATTGCATTGCCATAAAATGGGACCACACGGCAAGCACTAGCTTTCAAATAAAGAGAGAATTATCAATATCGGTCCACCCTGTAAAAAGTTTTGAGATAACAACCTGAAGAAAAATACAGTTGAATTGAGAACCTCCGCCTTTTTTTGAAATCGGTTAAAAATGTAACTAAATTACTTCTAAACATCCAATGAAATGTAGCTGTAATGTATCCTGGCTATGAATAGTGGACGACATAAAAACTCCGTCAAGTTTGTTCAAGGAAGATTCCCTCGGGATATGTGAATCGAACTGAGTTTTTGCATGACAACAGTTGCGTTTTTGCCTTCCTGTTTGTCCTTAGAGTTTTTTGCATGGTTACTTGCGCAGTTAAATTACCACAGTAGCGTCTTAAAAACGCCACGTCTTTTTTTCTTGTCTGTAAGTAAAACATTTATATAAATTTTTATATAGGCTTTGCCTACGGGAAGCCACGTCATACTGGGCGAAGTCACGGGAAAATAGCTACATTTATACAGATTGTTTTACTTAGTCATATAATTTCTTCCTATCCTCTTCATAGATTTTCTATCTTCATTAAAAATAATAAATTAATTTATTTCGCTTTCACGAGTATTATTATCTATAATAGTGAACAAAGGTCAGCCAACTGATTAACTGACAATTCATCGGGAATTTTATTGGTAGCATTAAAAGTAAAACAAAGTAAATAGTGTAATGGGTGATTGTACATTAAAAACGCCTTGTTACTATCTGTAATCGATACAGATAAACGACTGGTCCGTATGATCTAATGCATGATGCTAAAATACACACCTATAACGCATGTTACGCTACGCTTGGCGATCGTCTTAAATTTTGAACCTATCACGTGACCTAAAGGACCAAAATATGTAGGTAGATTGCTCTATTAATAGTCAAGGTGTTAATATCATCATCAGCAGCTTATTAATGTCTCACGGCTGAGGCTCTGTATTTTGATTCTACCCTCAATATATTCACGTTTAAAATCGAGTGGGGGAAAGATAGTTTTGTATAACCTTACGTGCTGATGAAGTTATATATATATATTTTTTGGAATATACTCATTTGATATCCACATTGCTTTATAATTATTTATAAGAACATTTTTTAATGGTATCATGCATCCGCCATATTGAATATTAAAAAAAATAACAGCCAGTGTCACTCGGTAATATGTAACGTTACTAATGATACCCTTAACATTCATATCCATCGAATCTTTAAAAAATATGGTGGAATAAAGAAACACATATACACTTTTCGGCAGTCGTAAAAACGACACGTTCTCCCCGCTCGTCTACCGACACGGAACGCTCATATTTCACAAGTCACCGTCCCTTCAAACTTTTGATTGCTTACTCAGCCGCGAATCATATGCCGATGCGGAAACTAGACTTTCGCGAGTTTTCGCATCTTTATTTATGAGATCGCCGGTTTGCATCGGAGCGCTTTTTTGAGTTACAAGTTCCCTCGGTGTTAACTTTTTTGGCAGCCGGCGGGCTGTGTAAGCATGTGCCAAAGTGATTTTCTATTGAGCGCTGATGTTTGATACACAACTTGGGGAAACATTTCGTAGTTAAAGTTTTTTATTGCTTAGTCGAACATCTAGGCTTGAGATACGTATACAACAAAATTTATGTGTTACACAATGTTATATTGAAAGATATTCTTAATGAAACATGCTTTAAGCGTTTACTTGCCTCATGTGAGGGTATTTTTTGGAGTAATTTATTTTCCGCGGGTATTTTTGGGTAATAGCAGGTAATAGCTTGAAAGCTTTAACGTTTAATAGCATATTATTTAATCAACTGCCAAAGACATAAAAACTCTCAGTCTGGTGTTTTTGAATGCAAGAATAATGTAGTAATTAGTGAACGCATATAAATTTTTTACCTGTCTTTTTTCGATTGTGTCTGTTGCCTGTAGCCTAAATGTGGTTGGAGCTTGTTGGGGTATGTAGTCTGTGGTTGTTTGTGTGAACAAGGTGTAAAAGGTAGTTTCTTACTAACTCTATAGTTGTGAAAAATGGCATCAACGAGTGAGCCCGATCGCGCTAAATCTTTTCAACTGAACTGTAGCTGAACCTCAATCAAAACACGAAGTTTTCAACACGCAACGATTACTGAACAGAAAAGCGGCGTCAAAAATTAAGATTTTTTGTAGGTACTTAAAATAAACGTGATTTGGATGGAGGGAGGGGGATTATAATCTTAAACCTTACCATTTATCACCAACGGGGGGGGGGGGGGTGTTAAAATAAAATATAATCATGTAATCTTTGAAATTTGCAATGCAAGAAAACAATTTTAATCGCCTATAAAAAGCGAGTTGTTAGTCCGGAGGTCAACTAGCCCTCTAAAGGTTTTTATAGGAATTTGTTTAGGGTATTTTTTCAAAAATATGCTTAATCTAGGGTAAACCGAGACAAAGTCTGGGGTAAGGCAAAAAAATGACCTGGTAACACTGAATGTACCAGAGAAGTCGCACGGGTTGTGAAAGGTCGAGAGTGCACCTTTGGCGAGTGGATTTTAAACCATTTTTCGTTAAAAATAAGATTTTTAAACAACAACGATTAATTTTTAAAGCATTATTTTTCTAAATGGATATTATAAAATATTATTATACGCCGATTTCAACAATTCGGTAACTGATTTTTTACATATTAATAAAAAATATTGATGTTAATCTAAGACAGTATCTTCAAAAACTCAGGATCAGTCGACCAAAAATATAATTTTCCACTCTACAGTTAGTTACATTTGCGTCATAAACAAGGCACAAGAAGCTTAAGAATACCACTTCTTTACCATGAGTGACTTTCTATTATGATATTGAAACAATAATATTTATCTTTGATGAACTTTACTATATTTATTTATTAGATGTATATAATAAAGCTGAAGGTTTTTTGTTTGTTTGACTGAACCCTAAAATCTCAGGAACTACTAGAATGAATTGAATTATTGTATTTCGTTGATTAGTCCACTTATCGAGGAAGGCTATTCACACTTTGACTTATAGGAGTGGAGCAGCCATAAAAAATGTTACAAAACCGGAAGAATATTTACCTTTTTAAAGCTTTCCATGCGTGTGCTGCGTAAAAGGTGAAAGTTACCCAAAAATAGCGTGTATCGTGTAAATGAGCCTGTTTAAAAGTTAAGATCCTATAAAAAAGCACATAAAGGAATGTAAATGGGAGTGGGTGTTCTGAGTTCATATACGGCATTTGATCATTAATATAGTAACCGCTATAAACAATTCAATTTGTAATTTTAATTATATTCCATGTCATCCTTTTCCAAATCCATTAATGAATGGTTCAAGCAGTTAACGCAAGATTAAATAATGTTGAGAATCAAAAAGAAAATCTTTGTCAATAATATTAAATGCATATGTTATACTGGTTGAGTACACGAAAATGTTACATTTCTCTGCCTCTACTGAGCACACACTTTCGTTTAAATTTTGCGGTTTTTCCAATAACATAATTTAATGTGGAATTATTAATAGCGTGATAAAATAAAATGTTACGTTTGGCTGCCTCTATTGAGCACGCTATTGTTCTTTTTGAAACTATGTTTTGTTGTTATGTTTGTAGTCTTTATTTTTTCCGATTTTTATCATACCAAGTAGCTTTCGTTTTTAATTTTTGTGGTATTTTCAATAACTTAATTTAATGGGAATTGTTAATCTGGCGAAATAGGAAAATGCTACAATTAGCTGTAGTCGCTAGATTTTTTTAAAACTGGTCCGTTGTTTATTTGACTTAAAACTGTAACGAACAAAAAAGGTATTTTCAAATTTTACACAAGTCATTGTCTACAACAAACGTCTTGAAAATCACTCCCGAAAAAACACATAAAACAGTGCTTAAATACGTTAAAACAGTGAGTGCAACAGTTACAAATACATATATTGTTGTGGAAAGTGCACTAATTAAATAAATCACGCACGAACTATACTCTAAGAAGCTAAAAATTTGCTGTGAAAACATTCATAACATAACCTCCAAATACTATTAAGTGCAAAACATAGACAATACAGTCATCTGTCAAGTTTCAATCACGACAACATTACAAAACAAATTTGAATAGTGTTGCCACTAAAAAAAAAAAAAAAAAACAAAAATTTAACCACTATATTTCGCGCCAATTTTTGAAATTCTCTGGTAAAATATTTGAATTTAAAAGTAAGATTATGGAAGGCCAGATGGAACTATTACTGAAAAAAATCCAGGAAGAAATGGACAAACAAACAATAACGATTACGGAGGCTGTTACTCGAAGTATTTCACAACAAATGGGAGAAAAATTCAAAATGTTACAAGAACAAAACCAGCACCTTCAAGATGAAATTTCAGAGTTAAAGGATAAAATTAGAGGCTTAGAGACACAAAAGAAAAAGAACAATCTACTATTTTTTGGGATAAAAGAAGACAGGGAAAAAGAATCAAATATTATAAAATTCATGAAAGATTTTATTAACAATCACCTGTCGCTGGGCATCCAGGAATACGAAATTGATAAAGCTCATAGGATTGGACACAGAAAAAGTAACGGACTTCGTCCTATACTTATTTCCTTCACTTCCACCTGGAGACGAAACATAATCCTCAAAAATAAAAATAAATTTCCGCAAGGAGTATACATTAAAGAAGACTTTACGAAGGAAACGCTAGACATAAGAAAATCTCTACAGCCGAAACTCGAAGAAGAAAGAAACAAGGGTAATATAGCCTACCTGCGAGGAGACAAGCTTATAGTCAAGAAACCAACGGATATTCAAAAGAGTGAAAAGAGGAAGAGAGAATCATCCTTCTCACCAAATCAGGGGTCCGGAACACTGAGCGAACCATCTTCCTCAGCGGGCCATAAAAAAAATTGCTGCAAAGAACGCATTTGAGTTTATGTCCCGTCCTAGAAGCAACTCACTTAAAGAAAAGACTAATAAGTAGCAGTTAAAGCCTGCCAGCAACCGAAAAAAAGACAATGACAACTGCAAAAACAACTTTCAAGAAATAAACCGAATAAAAACTCCCCCAAGCCGGCTGGTCCCCGTGGGGGAAAGAGACCATAACCCTCTAGTTAAAATAAAAACAAAAAATGAAACTCTAAAAATTGGTACATTTAACGTCAGATCATTAGGGTCGGAGATAAGATATATAGAATTAATGCACTCACTACAAAAAATAGAAATAGACATACTTGGTATAGCGGAAGTCAGAAAAATGGGATGCAATATTGAAGAACATGACAGCTATATCCTGTGTTATAAAGGAGAAACAGCTGGGCTGTATGGAGTAGGCTTTCTCATCAAGAAAAAACACAAAAGAAGCATCATAAACTTCACAGGAATTTCAGAACGGGTCGCTGTTCTACAAATGAAATACGACAACGAAATACTCTCAATAATACAGACGTACGCCCCTACAGAAAAATCATCCGAAGAAGCAATAACCTCATACTACGAAACCTTAGAAGTAGCTTTTACCCTTATTGGACAATATCATCATCTTCTTCTAATTGGAGATTTTAACGCTCAGGTTGGACAAACAAATATGAATGACAGTTTGGTCATGGGAAAATTTGGCTATGGAACTCGAAGTGAAAGGGGTGAAAAACTAGTGCAATATGCCTTAGAGAACAAACTTTCTATTATGAATACATTTTTCAAAATGAGAAAAAATCGTAAGTGGACCTGGCTGTCACCAGACGGAAAGATAAAAAATGAGGTGGATTATATCCTAACAAATGAACCCAAGAAAATAAGGAACATAGAAGTTCTCCACGGCATAGGATTTAGATCAGACCATCGTTTGGTGAGAGCTACGTACATTTTAGGCAAACAGAAGAAAGTCAGAACAACTTTTAAAACGCAACCTAAATCATTAAAATCAACAGAAGATATCAGTCGCTACTTGAAAAATCTAGAAGACAACATACAAAAATTGAATCTCCAAGACAATGACCACGACGTCCAGACACTTTACAATAAATTAGAAAAAGCCATCGTTGAGAGTATGCCATCAAAAACACCTAATACAACAGAAGACCTAGTTGGAAAAATTTTAAGTAAAGGTACCCGGGAAATGCTGACAAGACGAACAGAGTTAATAAAAATGAACAAAAAATCTACAGATGAGAAAAAAGAATTAAGTGCTCTCTTTAAATCAACAAGTAAAGCCATTAGAAAAGATTACCAGAAGTATAGAAATAAGATAATAGAAGACAACCTACAGAAACGCAGAAGTTCCAAAAAAGCCTACAAACAATTAACAACTCATAAAAATTGGATACAAAATCTTAACACTAAAAATAAAGAGACAAAAACCAGAGACGACGTGATAAATAGTGCATCAGAATTTTACAAAGCACTTTATCAAGAAAAGGCTGCCGTCTCGAATGATTCTCGTTCAAGAAAAAACTCCTTGCACTACGAAATGAGCTACTGGGAATCTGATATACAACCTATAGACGATCTGGAAACTATCAAACACATTCAAAAGTTAAAAAATGATAAAAGTCCAGGCCCTGACACCCTACAAAACGAGGCTTTAAAAACAGGTGCTCTCCTACTAGCACGACCACTTACTCATTTATTTAACAAAGTCCTAGACACTGGTCAGGTGCCAGAACAATGGAAGAGATCTGATATAATCTTGCTGTACAAAAAAGGAGACCCGAAAGATGTGGGTAACTATAGACCTATAAGTCTACTTTCAAGTGTGTACAAATTATTCACGTCAATTCTAGAAAGCAGACTGTCACCAAGAATTGACAAACACCAACCGTTAGAACAAGCTGGCTTCCGTTCGGGTTTTTCCACAACAGATCATATACACACCATTCAACAAGTTATAGAAAAATACAAAGAGTTCAACAAACCACTATATGTAGCTTTCATTGACTACGCTAAAGCTTTCGATACGATCTCTCATAACTCCATATGGAAAGCCCTGGCTAGCTGCCAAATCCAAGAAAAATACATTAAAGTACTAAAGAACATCTACAAAGGAAGTACCAGTAGAGTAAAACTAGAAAAAAGAGGAACAGATATACCAATCTGCCGAGGAGTAAGACAAGGAGATCCTCTATCACCAAAAATTTTTATAGCGGTACTACAGCTTATCTTTGATAATATAGATTGGCCAGAACATGGAATTAGAGTAAATGGGAGTAGGCTAACTCACCTAAGATTCGCTGACGATATTGTCATTTTTGCCGAAACCAGTGACAAACTAGGGGAAATGATAAGCACATTGAAGGAGGAGAGTGAAAAAGTTGGGCTCGTAATGAACCAAGATAAAACCAAACTAATGACAAACAGTAAAACTGCTCACATCAACCTATATGGTAAGCCATTAGAATACGTAACCAACTATATATATCTCGGAAAGCAAGTATCATTCAGTAACACTAACGAGGAAGAAGAAATAGAGCGACGTGTAAACATTGGATGGAAGAGGTACTGGAGTCTTAAGGAAATTCTAAAAGGCACTTTCCCTCTGCATCTCAAAAAGACTGTAATGGATACATGTATTCTACCAACTCTGACCTATGGCTGCCAAACTTGGACATACAACACTAAGATAAAAACAAAACTAGCTAACTGTCAGAAAGCGATGGAAAGAAGCATACTGAAAGTAAGAAGAATGCAAAAAATAAGAAGTAAAGATATAAGAGCCAAAACTAACTTAATAGACGTACTTCATCATGCACGTACACAAAAATGGCGATGGGCAGGACACCTAGCGAGATACACAGACAACAGATGGACATTAGAAACCACAACATGGGAAGGACCTGCGGGAAAAAGAAATAGAGGCCACCCAAGAAACAGATGGATCGACGAAATAATTCAAGTAGCCGGTAAAGACTGGAGGAAAAAAGCAAAAAATAGAAAAGCATGGAGTAAACTAGAGGAGGCCTTTACCCTACATGGGGTTCCAATAACATAGTTTTAAGTTAATTAGTTTATAAGAATGATGTCAATAAAGATATTTCATAATAATATACCGGATGAACTTAAATTGTTGCCCCAAAAATTATATAAATCACATTTGAGAACATGCTTGATAAATATTTTTATTTAGTAAATGAATTTTAAATAAAATATATTATTTGAAACACTCTATCGGTCACTGGAATGACATGATATATAATCACATTGTGATAGTTAAGTTTTTGCATGCTGCTTAACAGCGGAATATGAGATACTTATATTGTTTTCTTTAATTTAGTAGTTGGTTAGAGTAACCATGTTCCCATAATCTTTTTTTGATTAATTTTTGTTTTTCAAACAAATGTATGACGCCATGGTGCTTTGGGTAAATATGATTGCCTAAACGGCAATTAAGAGGGCAGACTCAATAATCATAAAACTTGCTACTGTCTAAAGTAAAATTATTTCGAAGTCAAATTAAATTGAAGGACATATACATGTAAATTATATGCCTAAAATAAATTTCGAAGACACTAAAATTTTAAGATAGGTGACTATATTTTCACAATATTTACAGAAACATGAAATAATAACTTCTATAAATACTAACAACAATATCTTTATATGGTTTTATAGAAGACCAGCTTTCCTCCCGCGGCCCGTTTGGAATCCTTTTTTTTATCGCCATCTTTAAGCCTTTTTTTTCGTCATAAAACCTGTAATATTCCAAGTTCCAATCTACCTGTATATCATATTTCATTGAATTCGATTTAGTAAGATTAGGTGTGAAAAAGCTTACCCAAAAAAAAAACAAAGCGCTCTTTAAAATAAAGCCTTTTTTTATTTAATTACGAAATAAGAATCATGCTCCAAAAGTCTTTGGTGTTATTATATTGGCGGGAATATTGTGAGCCTCGTTCATTGGTAGCGTAATACAGTGAATGTCACGTGGCGAGCACACGGTGCCACACGCGTGATATAACCTATAACTTATCATCTCAACTTTCTATACAAAAAACTGATGCTAGTTCAAGAGTTATTCGATAATAATTCCGCTTTTGTAACTTTTATCTATTTTTACTATCATATAATTAGATCCATTTTTTTAAACGTTGCACGGTGGGCAAAATCGGTCGTTATCGGATCAAAAATGTATAACTTCATGATTTTTTGTAGTACCGCAATGAAATTTGCTACAAATATTCAGTGAGGTTTGGAAATTCAAATGATGTATAATTTGTAGTGTTTTTCTATATACATATATATGTTATATGTCATAGAGATTAAAAAAAATGGGTCAACACAAAAATAAAATGGTAAAAAAAATAATTCCAAAAGAAAGACAAGTTTTAATGACCAAAAAGGTTAAAACTATGGTTAAATACAAAATTACCCAATTAATAAAAAATAAAAAATATTTTTTTTGCTGAACAAACAAACTATACTAGGTCCTGTAGCTTCAGAGATTGATATAACTCGTTACAAACATTACTAATAACTAAATATCAATATTATTTTTATTTTGGTAGGTACCTATATTGCTTCAGGATCAGGGTCAGTAAACGTGCGTTCACTTTCAGGTACCACTTTTAAAAGACTTATTGCCTCTTCTTCAAGATTTTTTACATTTCTTAAGTATGGTTTTCTTAAACTTGTTATATATGGATCTGACGTGCACAAAAGCATTTTAAAGACATCTTCATTTGTTGCAGACCGGGAACATTTTTTGGCATGATGAAGTCGCATGTTTCTGTAGTCTTTGTTGCGAGACTCTTGTGCGTCTTCCGACAGCTGTCCAATAGGATTATCTAATTATCTAGTAATTTCTCACGCATAACGAGTGCAAATTTGATAAGATTCCTTTGTTATCGCTAAATAAATAAAATATTCCAAAAGTAATATAATTATTGTCCTTGTAAACGGTGTCTGTGGTAAACCGCAAAAGATACTGATTTTTATTTTCCGACTTTTCACATATTATTTCTTATATTTTCTAAAACCGCAAACTTCCGCAGCTGTTTTTTTTTGTATTCTGTTACTGAATAGTTAGACTATCAATTAACATAAAAAGTTGTGCGTGGGGAGTCGTGGGTAATATTGAAAACCTTAGACGAAAAAAAAAAGTAAAAAATAAGGTATGCCACTTTTTAATTACTTACTGACATAATTGTCGCTGCTTTAGAAATTAAAAAGCTGTAACGTAATAAGCATGAAACAACCTTTCCAAAAATGTATAATACTGCATATATGTACCCAATATATATTGCACAATATGGTTTTCAAACATGTATATGCGTAGACTCGAGTTCGGCACTCCCGTCTTCTATGTACTTCTACCTATGAAAAAAATGTAACTTCGTGCATTTTCGATGTTGATGAAATGTTTCGTCTACACCCGTAATTTCCGCTGAGCAAGTGTAATTTAAAAAAAAAAACCTTCGTGCGGTATTGCCATATCAAATTGTTTCCAATATCAAATTGGTACCCACATAATTATTATCTAGTAATTTCTCACGCATAACGAGTGCAAATTTGATAAGATTCCTTTGTTATCGCTAAATAAATAAAATATTCCAAAAGTAATATAATTATTGTCCTTGTGAACGGTGTCTGTGGTAAACCGCAAAAGATACTGATTTTTTTTTCCCGACTTTTCACACATTATTTCTTATATTTTCTAAAACCGCAAACTTCCGCAGCTGTTTTTTTTTGTATTCTGTTCCTGAATAGTTAGACTAACAATTAACATAAAAAGTTGCGCGTGGGGAGTCGTGGGTAATATTGAAAACCTTAGACGAAAAAAAAGAAAAGTAAAAAATAAGGTATGCCACTTTTTAATTACTTACTGACATAATTGTCACTGCTTTAGAAATTAAGAAGCTGTAACGTAATAAGCATGAAACAACCTTTCCAAAAATGTATAATACTGCATATATGTACCCAATATATATTGCACAATATGGTTTTGAAACATGTATATGCGTAGACTCGAGTTCGGCACTCCCGTCTTCTATGTACTTCTACCTATGAAAAAAATGTAACTTCGTG